GGAAGTCTGTTATTACTTATTACTCCTTGTATGTCACAGTTCATAGAATTATTTTTTTGGTAATTAACATCTATTCAAATTATTGCTATGATAATTATGCAAAATTTCACATAATTTACACTAATATTATATTTAAATGTAGTGAATTGGAATACTGGAATTGTAATTGAAATTGAGGACTAAAAGTTATGCGTGACGTAGTATTCTCTAAGACTAGAATTCAAATTCTATCAATATACTGAACAATTAGAAAAAGAGTAGGACAATTCAGATAATTATTAAGGCCATAAATAGAATTTGAACAATCTTGTAGCTCTTTCCTCTTTCTTTTTCTCCCAAATGTTCAATCCAAAGTCCTAGCTAGCTATGAGTATGAAAACAAAACGTGATAAATAAAAATGCTTTCACAAAATAGTGTCGAAAGTAATTGTTATTCCGTTTTGAAGTCATATGTAGTGGATTAAAAGACAAAATTATCCTTACAAATTACAGGACATTTTTGTCTTCATCATACTCCTAAAGTAAGTTACCATGAAATAGATATCTACTACAAATATGGGTAGCATTTAACACGAGTGGTACCTTAAATGTGAATGCGTTTTTTTATTTTGGCACAGCATCCTCTTTTATACATGTGATATAGAGTACTTTGGAGTTTGCCAAAATATTATTTTGTGTTACACAACAATGTTTTCTTTATTTTAAATTCATAATCTTCTGGTCATGTCCCGAATTAGGTGTCGCTTTTGGTATTTGTGCCAAAGACGACATCTAATTCGGAACAGAGATAATATTTATCCTCTCAAACAATATGTCAAAAAGTAGAAATCTGTACTTGGGATGTAACAATGTACACAACAAGTTATACGAAATTCTGAAACACAATACTTATGAGGGTTGCGAGCAAAAAACACTCTTATGGTATGTATATAAAATGTATAATCCTATATACGTTGTAAAAAAATTTTAACATTTAATTTTAGAGCAAATAAAGACATGAATTACAAAATAAGTAAAAATAACTAATTATATATAAAAATGACTAATTATCCCTCTCTTTTTTTTGGTTTTTTTTTAATCATCACTATAGCATACAATAGAAAAGTTGGTTTATTGTGTATATATATATAAGGGTATATATATATATATAGAGATAAGGGTGTTTTTAAAATTGTATATCTAAACAATAACTTCAAATTTTTATTTTTTTATTTTCAAATTTAACGGACTTATATACATAATATAAATTCTTTTTTGTTAAATTTTTTTAATTATATAAACAACATTAGGGATATTATTTGCCCATATATTTTTTCCAGTATTAAAAAAAATTTAACAAAATTATATAAACAACGTTAGGGATATTATTTGCCCATATGTTTTTCCCAGTACTTCACTAACATCTTGCATCGAGAACGCAAAGACTTGGTCTATTTGGTGATTTTGCAATGTATCTTGATGTAATACATGTTACGGAGTATTTTCGATATAAAGTATAATATTTACATCAATACCACGTCGTACTGATTCCCTAAAGCAGCATATGTTACTTTCAACCCCAAACACCGTAGTGGTGTTGGATCAGAGTGAAAAAAGAGGCTAGTGTAGATTTTGTCGTGGCATGTCTAATGGGCTAAAAGTTTGATAAGGATTGGTGAGTCCAAAAGCCTCGGACTCTTTTCTTTTGAAGATCCGACGGTACGGATGAAATGAGTGTGAGTTGTCACCATCACATGACTTTGGCAACAGGGTCGATGTAGATTGATATGATAGCTTGCATTGTATACTATTAAAGTTGCTAGAGGGGGATTGTGATAACATGTGACTAATCTACAAACTCTCATATACAGGAATCCTATCAGGACCAGTTGGTTATGATCAAATCATTTCTAAAAGTGAATGCCTCTGATTTGCCACGTGGCATTTCTCTAATGTCCTGATTGGACCCACAAAATGAGAAGTCTTATCTGGTCCAATCCATCTTAGTAATGTCTTGTCTTTTCAGTCTAATTTTCCAACCTAAAACGTGTCAAATTGTGTATTGGTCCGGACTGGGCTTCTTCTATTACGATTGGTTCGACCATAAAATTCAATGTTATGTTGAAACTAAGGCCTAAAATGTGCCATTTTGTCCAGACCAACCATTCCCCAAGCCCATGTAATGTGAGCACAGGTTGACATGGTTTGAAACAAAATACTCTTCCGTCACATAATAAGTGTTATTTATTCGAAACCGTGAAGTAATATATTCAACATTGATAGTATATTTACATTAAAATTTTATTTTCATGTATTTGTTTAGAATGAAAAATTACAAGAATATTTTAGCACAATACAATTTTATAACTTGAGAAATATGAAGAAAAAAAAGTTTAAAAGTACTTTTCCAAAATTTTTATTTTCTCCTTCCAAACTCTAAAAAAATCTTAATTTTTTTTTTTATATTTTTATTTCCTACACTTTGGACAACTTCCCGTATAAAATTTTAAGAATTGATCCAAGGAAATATAGAGACTGGGCCCAAACAAACGTGTATTGGACCGGTCCAAACTCAGCCTAATATTGCAGCAAGAAGAGCCATGCCTTTTTAGAACTGGGCTGGAAAAAGGCTGAGATTTAAATATCAAACCCAAATTTGTGCTCTTTTGGTCTTAGCCCAAAGCTAAGATCTTATTTTACAAAACCGAAATGTTTAGAATTTGCAATTTTTTGAAGTACTAATTTGTCCTTTTTTCGTCTAAATATGTACAATTATAAAAATTAATTTTTTTTGAAAACATAAAGAATAATGATGGATAACTATTTTGGATAAAGAGAATGGTGGCTACTAATATGGGACAGAAACAGTAATACTTGCATAGTATTATTGCAAGTCCATTTGTATTGATTAAGAAAAGATATACTTCATGTGTGAAGTTGTACCGGTAATGTTTCAGTATTATCAACCAATTACTCTGTGTAGATATCACATAAATAAAAGTGCATTTAATTCGATGAATTATAACTTATCTTTAGAAAAAAAAAAAAAAAAATCAACTATATCTCATCATATAAGTAAAAAGTGCAATTACTATAGTGGGTGGTATCACATTTAATGGTACCATATCATCAATATAGTAGGAGCATTAAAGTATTTGGACTTTGTAACCTTTGACAAGTTAGATTGTAAATTTATTTCTTTTTTTCTTTCAATAACATAGCTTTGCATTACGAAGAAACAAAGGACAATACATCGAAAAGCCATTGAGGGCAAATCTGTCATTGCAGATCATTACACTTTTGACTTGAGCATTTTTACTCACTGTATTAGCAACCTCATTACAGGGTCGTGGAGCCCAACGAAAAACCAACATCAGATTTGCTTCTGACATCTTTTGAATATCCACTTTCATGATCAGTAGGGTTATTTTATGGTGGATGTGAAAACTGATTGTCTCTCTCTTGTTAGATTGTAAATTGATAAATGGAGATTTTGTGATAAAAAAAAGAAAAAAAAGAAAAAAACCAGAGTTCCATTGGCCTCTGTTAAACAAGATTAAACGTACTTGTTGTTTGATATTAGTTGGCAAAGACTCTTAAACCTTCTTAGATAGTGGCTCTAATATTTAATTTTAATTTTATTTATTTGAAATGTAAGTTTGGATATCATTCACGCCATGTCTAAACATCTAATTTGATGGCAATTCGACTTCACTAAGATCCAGGACTAATCCGCTTAAAAAAAATATTCAAAAGCAATCAAGATACTAAAATTCAATCACTTGTACAATTTATAATGAGTTCCGAAAATTGACATTAAAAAAAATTATAAAGGGCGTATATTATTTTTTTTGGGCACATAAATGGCGTATTCAAACGAATTGAAAGGGTACCCATTCAAGTGGCTAATTATATAAAAATATCATTTTTGTAGTTTTCTAGGTGAAGTGATCACTGATCTCTTGTAATGATAAATTAGGTAGAAGTGTTTTCGTACAAGTTTAGTCAAAAGTCATTTTCTCACAAAGTTGTTTTTGTACCCAATTGATATTCTGTAGTGACTCGTAAGCCAATATATATATATATATATATATATATATATATATATATATTATTCTGTCATGTGGTAGACTGAGGATCAATGAATTATTTGGATATGGTATTGCCATGCGTTAGATCTGAAATTTTGTATTTTATTTTCATCGTACCTTTTGAATGCCACTTGAGAGAATTTTAGTCAAATAAAAATCATGTTTACAAGTGATTGTGATCGAATAAAATGTTGCATTCAACACTGTTCGTCTCTGTGTGTATTGTCAAGAAATGTAATGGTCTAGAAACTCTCCCCCTCCCTTCTTGTCTCTCTCAATTGTCAAGAAGAAGACAATAAATAATGGGTCCAAAAACAACTTGCAATCTTGTTTGGCGTGTGGTTCCAATTTTAGACCTGATCATGTTTGTATTTATTCCAATGATTTGAAATAAATAATAAAAAAGTCTATTTTTTTATTTCTTCAATTAGGCCTTTATTTTTATTTTTTTGAAATTTTTATTAAATATTGAAACGAATTTGGAGTGAGAGTAATACTCTGTGTCTGGTAGGAGTAATTGGAAACTCAATCATATATATATATATATATATCTATTTATTATTTCTATTTTGTAAATTTTAGATTTACATCTTGTCAACTTATCAACACACAAAGTATGAATAGCATCAATTGAGATTTAAATTTTAGATTTTTTTTTTTTTGGCAACTCGAAACTAAAATCAATGATTGATATTTCATTAATAATCAACACGTGGTTTGCATGAGAGGGTGGACCATTCTCAACCGCACAGAGATAATTAGGGTAGAGTAATTCTGTGTAATACACCATCTATCTGATTGTGTGGGTCCTACCAGTACTAGACATATGAGAACACATGGACATGGGTGATGGACCCCCTATTCCTATTAAGTTAAGATATGTCTCTCTCTCTCTAACTTAAAAACATTTTGTTGCCATGCAGAAGAGTACACGAGGGAGCTTCAACGGGTGGCCTTCAAATTGAACTCCCTAATCCCTCTATTTATTATATATTCATCTTCTCTCTCTTCTAATCTCAAGAAATAGAGAGAGAAACAACCCATTGAATCTCAGAGATGGAAAATGGTAGAAAGAATTGGGTAAATGGAGCTAATGGGCAAGAGCATGAGACACCTTCTAATATCACCATTAAAGGCATTATTGGGTTGTTAGTGGCCAATATTGATGCTGATGAAAAGAGGCGGGTCATTTCGTTGGGTATGGGTGACCCATCTGCCTATTCATGCTTTCACACCACTCCTGTTGCTGAAGAAGCTGTTGTACACACTCTTCAATCTCAGAAGTTCAATGGTTATGCTCCCACTGTTGGTCTTCCTCAAACCAGACTGTAATTACCCTTCTTTATTCATATCTATATGTGTCTTATTGTTATTATTCTGTGAATTTTGGTTTTGTATTAGCTCTGATTTCTTCATATTTCAATTTGCTGCAATGGGAGTTGAACTAATTTAGTACTGATTTGCCCCTCTCTCTCTCTATATATAAATACACACAAATTGGGGGTTTTTAGAGGGTTGTTATTATTATTATTTGATTTGTTACATGCGATTGTTATTTATTGATTTGATGATACTTTCAGCTTCATTTATTGTTTTACTTTGCAGAAAGGATGTTCTATTTCCTGCCTTACTTCTGCTTTAATTTCATAATTACTCATTCTAGTAATTGAATTTGGAATTTAATCTCCAGGTTGAGATAGTTTTTGTTCAATCTAGTTGGTCCCTTTACATGACCCTATTGAATTTTTAATCCAGTTCATCGTTGTTATATGGTAATTATGTTATTGTTATCTAGCATTACTTTTTATGTTTCAACACACTTATGGTTGGAATTAGTTTGTGTCTTTAATAATTAATTATTTATGTTTATTTTTATTTTTATTTTTAACGACTTACATTTCAGTATAGTGTTTACAGCTCTAATTTCATGCCAATCCTCATTTTAAATGATGTTTATTGATTTTGAAATAGTTTTGTCTTTCTTCTTTTCCTTTAAGTAATCATTTCATCTAATTTCAGTTTCAAATTGGGCATGCTGCACCTGGTTGAGATTTCTCTGGATTAAATTTTATTTTTATTATTTTTTCTATAAACAGGGCAATTGCAAATTATTTGTCCCGGAATCTTCCATACAAGTTGTCACCTGATGATGTTTATGTCACATCTGGTTGCACGCAAGCTATCGATGTATCACTATCAATTCTATCCCGACCTGGTGCAAATATCTTGCTTCCAAGACCAGGGTTTCCCATATATGAACTTTGTGCTGCTTTTAGACAACTTGAAGTCCGGAATTTTAATCTTCTTCCTGAGAAGAGCTGGGAGGTTGATATTGATGCCGTTGAAGCTCTGGCGGATCATAATACCGTTGCAATGGTAATCATAAATCCCGGTAACCCATGTGGCAATGTCTACAGTTACCAGCATTTGAAGAAGGTTAGAATAGGCTTTGAGCTCTGCATTTGCAATTCTGTACTTGGAACTGTTTATGCATACAATTAGTATCATTTAATTAATTTGTTTGGGTACTGACGTCAGATTGCTGAAATTGCGAAGAAGCTTAAAATTCTTGTAATAGCTGATGAAGTTTATGGGCACCTTGCTTTCGGAGATAAACCTTTTGTGCCTATGGGAGTTTTTGGGACAGTTGTTCCTGTTCTTACACTAGGGTCTTTATCAAAGAGATGGATAGTGCCCGGTTGGCGACTTGGTTGGTTTGTGACAACTGATCCCACTGGAAATTTCAAGCACCCAAAGGTTTGTGGCAAGTTATCTTACTGTCGTTTGACCGGAAGAGAGAAGATTGCTCCACATGCTGTCCCTCTTGATATCGTTCCTTTACTAGTTTTGAATATCAACACTCGTTCTCTCTCCTTCAAGTGTTTCTTTACCCTTTTTGTAGCAAAATTATTTTATAAAATAAAATAAAATAATGCATAGCATTTGCCCGCTTTTGCAAATTTTGGCATTATTTTGCACAAAACTTTTGTTCTTGGACTCAAACATGCATCCCCACATTTTGCAGCCCAAATTTTTACCATTCAGCAATCAACAACCCTTTATATTGAGTCAACTTTTCTTTATGATCTCATGGTTATGAATCTTTTCAGTTGATTTGGATGACATGGTACTAATCTCAGAAAACTGACTTTCTGCAATACTAATCCATCTTTCCTCTTCCCTTTTCTCAGATGGTTGAGCGCATTAAGAAGATCTTTGATATTTGTGGAGGTCCTGCTACCTTTATACAGGTTTGTACTGCATTACTTATATTCTTATTCAAGAACTGAGGTATGCTCATGTTTTGTCCCTTTTTTCTTTTTCTTTTTTTTTCTTTCCGGAAAGTATGTTTTTTCTTTTTCCATGTTGATGCAACTCCTAGAACTATCAGTTGAAAACTTTGAACTCGGGCATGCATGCTAACAACTCTTGCATTCATATGGAGCAAGTCAATTTCAAGCACTTGGAAGTAGAGGTTTCCAAGCATTTCTCCACAGAGAATAAGCAGTTGGAAGGATGACACACAAAAATGATTTCTGTTGATTTTTATATATGAGTCCAGAATTCAGAGGCTTAGAGGGCCCTTTTAATTCAAGTCGAAATGAACAGCTGCTAGTATCCTTATAACCATTAGACTAAGAGGCAGACATTGCAACCTTCCAATCCGATATATTGTTATAAGGGCGTGAGCTTAATGACAACGTTCTCATGATGGATTTTTTCCTGTACTTAATATAACCTGAAAAACGAAAAAAGAAAACTAGTGTACAACTTAAATAAATTTAGACAGAAAGATGATATGAGAAAAATACATGAATGAAGTATTGATATGTTGCAACAAGGTATACGACAACTGTGGACACCTTTTCTTTCACTAGATTTAGATTTTTAAAGCAAGACTAGAAAGATTCAATGTACTTTGAAGGGGCTCCATGAATTTTTCTTTTCACAAACTCACCATTATAGAGGGGGCCAGGGGCCACATTTAATTTTCTTATGCAACTTACCATTAGAAGCCATTATTAAGTAATTATAAGTGAGGGGCTCAAATTTTTATTTATTTATCATTTTTTTAGGGGAGGGTATTCTTCCTCTGGTCCTGCCCCCGGGTCCATGCTTGAACTTGACAATAAAATTCTAATTTTAGGAGAAGAATGTACATTTTACTTATTTTATTTTATTTTTTGGGTGTATGTCAAGAACCCATCAACTTCTTTATCTGTTCTTAATTTCATAATATATATATGTGTGTGTGTGTGTGTCAGGCAGCGGTCCCTAATATTTTTGAGCAAACTGAAGATGTTTTCTTTAAGAAAACAATCAATATACTGAAGCAGACCTCGGATATTTGTTCTGATCTGATAAAGGATATCCCTTGCATCACTTGCCCGCACAAACCAGAGGGATCCATGGCCGTAATGGTGAGGAAACAGATAAAAAAAATTGCGGCATTAAATAATTGTTTATTGTAGAAGTAATTATTTGCTTTGCGATACAGGTGAAGCTAAATCTTTCGCTGCTGAAAGATATTAGCGATGATATTGACTTCTGTTTTAAGCTGGCCAAAGAGGAATCTGTGATCATTCTTCCAGGTGAGAAACAAGCAAAGTTACAAATCTTGATAGCCTCACAAGTGATTATTTGTATATGTGTTGAAATACTTGATAGCACAACAGTCACTGATTAAGTTAAACTCAGAACCTTCACTGTTTTTCCTTTAACTGAGAATTATGGACACTTGAATTGATCTATTAGAAATAATTTTAATGACAAAAACAGACACATCTGAAGTCTATATTGGTGGAACTGGTGGTACATTCCAAGCATGCTTATAGACAAATTGGAACCAATGTTTGATGAGCAATGCTATTCACTGTGAGACAGTGGCTGTGGCCGAGCTGTCGGTTATCACAAAGAATATTGTTTTCCATGTTTGAGTTTTCGAGGGTTTGAAGTGACTCTAAAGGGGTGAGATGTTTGTTTTGCAGGATTAGCTGTGGGTCTAAAAAATTGGCTCCGGATCACATTTGCTGTTGAACCATCTTCCCTCGAAGAAGCTTTTGGGAGGATAAAGTGTTTCTATCAGCGCCACTCGCATCAACAGAAAGAACATTAATAATTTATGCTAATTGTGTAGGAGGCAATCAATAATTGCTGCTGAAATCGCGCTTTTAATTGTATAGCCAGTTTTAATAATTGTACATTGTAATTGCAGTTCCCCACAGCTCAATTGTATTGCAATGACATACAATAATTGTTTTCCAATAGTTGGGACCATATTATTTTGTTGAACATCATGCACCATAATATGGGAACTTGTACAAGTTATGAATCTTATAAATGAGTCGTCTTGCTTGTACGTTGAATTATTGATACAATGTTCTGTCATATATGATGTACTGAGTCTTGTAGATTCAAGCATTTTCAATGTCCCTCAACTGTGTGAAATCAATTGTTGGTTGGGATGGAAGTGATCATATCAGAGATGGGGTACTTGATGTTCTGAATAATCTCACTTGCATTCATCCACTCCATGCATTGCGTTGCCGCCCAAATTATCATGAACTTGTCATTAATGAATACCAGTTAGGAGTCAGTACTGCTATTGTAGAGATTGAAAAATTAATACAAATTTAGAAGTGATGTATATTTTTTTCACTTTCTTTTTTCCCGAAAATAATACAAGATTTTATGTTTACGGAGGCTTGAATATTAAGTAAGGAAGATGAGGTAGATGAGATACCAGTCGAATATTTTATGTGTATGAAATAAACATCTGGGTCCTGATTGTACTAGACATTTCAGAAACACATGGGTGATGGACCCCTGTTTTTTATTTGATGGTCGACCCTGTTGCCATGCAGAGTTCTGGAGCTTCAACTAGTGGCCTTGAACGTGAACTCTATCTAATTATCTGGCAACTTTGTTCATATATTCATTTTCGATCTCCCTTCTAGTTCTAATCTCAAGGAATAGAAAGAGATCAAAACCATTGCATCTCACTGTTGATGACCGCGCCACGATAGCTGCTTAGATGGCGCCACCTCTGCAAAATAGGTATAACTGGCCAACTCCTACTTGGCGTACCTACAATAAGGACAATATTCTCGAGCTACTCGTCCTATAACTGGTCTCACTGGCCAAGGAAGGGGTCGCTACCCTTCTTCTTCTGTAGACGTGCCCCGCTCTAGTTGGATGGGCTCCTTCCCCCCCACCCCCCCTGTTTCGATCGAGGTTGCCTTCTGAAAATGGCAACCTCGACTAACCTGCTTTGCGAGTCTCCTCTTTTGGCCATTGGGGACCTCGAACTATAAATTGGGATAAAGCTTTGCGAGGTCATGAAGGCAGGACCTCGAGGAAGGCCTTCTCCCTTTGGAATTCGGGAATCTGAGAACATGTGCACAGATGGCTGAGACCCAAGGGCTCGCCTCAGTTCGAGGCCAACACAAGGGGGAAAGGATACTTGGTACCCAAGCTCGAGTAAGGAAGGATAAAGAATGCATTAATTGCGAAAGACATTTGATAAGACCCATATTAATTATGGAGTGCCATTACATCTTTTGACTGGGGGGCAAAGCATCACGGCTCGTCCACCAATGTCTCATTTGTCAGAAGGAGAGACCCCAGAACCCTTGGCTCACCCAAAGGACTAAGAGACATTGACCGAGGAGGTAAACGCTATAAATAGGGGTGTTAATCAGCCTTTAAAACACACAACAACCACATTAATAGCTATTTGTTGATAAGCTCGAGCTCACGCAGTACCGAGTTCAGCCTTCCCTTTCTTAATCTCTAAGAGTTCCTTGTGTTGCTTGGATCTCCACTTGGATACTGGTCTCAAGATTCTTGGCTTACGTGATCTTCTAATCCTACTCACGAAACACCTTCAACACTCATAGATGGAAAATGGTAGAAAGAATTGGGTAAATGGAGCTAATGGGCAAGAGCTTGAGACGCCTTCTAATATCACCATTAAAGGCATTATTGGGTTGTTATTGGCCAATGTGGATCCTAATGACAATAGGCGGGTCAGTTATTTGGGTAGGGGTGACCCATCTGCCTATTCATGCTTCCACACCACTGCTGTTGCAGTTGCTCTTCGTTCTCACAACTTCAATGGTTATGCGCCCATTGTTGGTCTTCCTCAGACTAGAATGTAATAATAACTCTTCTTTTTAAATCTCTCTCTGTATAGAAATAAATATACACACAAATTGGGATTTTATTTAGAGGGTTAATTAGTATTATGGACATAGATCGTTTCCAATATTTTTGAATATTATCATCCCAATATTGCTTATTATTATTAATGTATATGTAAGTAAGACACACATATACATTAATAATGCTAGAGTCCAGCTCTTTGTGGTCATTTTGCTCATCATTTCTTGGCCAAAATCATAGTTGGTCCCCTTTCATGAACCCTATTGAATTTATATTCTAATGCTATTGTTATCTAGCATTAGTATTTTATTTATTTTATTTTTTTGACACTCTTGTTGTTGCAATTATTTTATGCTTTAGACCCCGTTTGGTAATCGTTTTTGTTTTGACCCAAAACAGAAGTGATATTTTTGCTTTAGAGTATTTGGAAGCTTATTTGGTAATGTAAATTTGTTGTAGGATTTTTAGAAGCAAAAATATGAAAACATATTTAGTAAAAAGTGTTGCAGGTTTAAAAAATTGAATGGCTAGTTAAAAATGTCATTTTAGATTTTTATTTTTTTGAACAGTGCCTTGCTACAGTGAGAAAGTACACAAAAACATCATTTTTATGTTTCCGGTTTTTACCTCAATTTCGGAAGGTTTCGATACTATTCAAATGAAAGCAAACGTTACCAAATATGCTTTGTACTTTTATTTCGCTACAGTACACTAGCAAAAGCAAAAAACACAAAACAAATGCATTAGCCGAACAACCCCTAATATTTATTTTTTACTTTTAACAACAAACATTTTTTTTTTCCCTGTTTTACATTTCAGTTTAGTGTTTAAAGGTCTAATTTCATGCCAACCCTCATATTAGATGATGTTCATTTTATCTAATTTCAGTTTCATATGGTTGAGATTTCTCTGGAGTTGATTTTGCTACTTTTTTTTCCCCTGTAAACAGGGCAATTGCTGATCATTTGTCCCATAAACTTCCATACAAGTTGTCACCTGACGATGTTTATGTCACAGTTGGTTGCACCCAATCAATCGATGTAGCATTATCAATTCTATCCCGACCTGGTGCAAACATTTTGCTTCCAAGACCAGGATTTCCCACATATGAACTTAGTGCAGCCATTACACATCTTGAAGTTCGGCATTTTGATCTTCTTCCTGAGAAGAGCGGGGAGGTTGATCTTGATGCCATTGAAGCTCTTGCAGATCATAATACCGTTGCAATGGTAATCATAAATCCCGGAAACCCCTGTGGCAATGTCTACACTTACCAGCATTTGAACAAGGTTAGAACTTAGAACAGGGCTTTTGTGTTCTGCATTTGCAATTCTCTACTTCCAACTGGTTTTGCATATTCAATTAATTTGTGTACTGATGTCAGATTGCTGAAACTGCAAAGAAGCTTAAAATTATTGTAATATCTGATGAAGTTTATGGTCACCTTGCTTTCGGAGCTACACCTTTTATGCCAATGGGAGTTTTTGCAATACAGGTGAAGCTAAATCCATCGCTGCTGAAAGACATTAGCGATGATATTGACTTCTGTTTCAAGCTGGCCAAAGAAGAATCTGTCATCATTCTTCCAGGTGAGACAAAACAAGCAATGTTACTAACCTTTGTATATTATTTGTATAAGTGCTGCAATACTTGATAATACCTAGCAGAATTAGAATTTACACTTTAAAAACAGAAATTTACTCTTAGTGGAACCAAATCTCACCAGTCACTGATTTAAGTTAATCTTAGACTCTGCGCGCTTACTGTTTTTTCTTTACCTGAAAATTATACACATTTGAATTGATCCATTAAAAATAATTTTTGTGACGAAAACAGACACATCTGAAGTCAATGCTTATAGACAAATTGGAAGCAATCTTTGATTTTCAGCGACTCTAAACGGATGAAATGATGGTTTTGCAGGATTAGCCGTGGGTCTGAAAACTTGGCTCAGGATCACATTTGCTGTTGAACCATCTTCCCTTGAAGAAGCTTTCGGAACGATAAAGTGTTTCTGTCAACGTCACTCGCATCAGCCAAAACAACACTAATAATTTATGTTAACTATCTGCCGCTCAAATTCTGCTCTATTAATTAATTGAACATTGTATTACATCTTGTAGATTCGTTTGTGTAATTTGTATGAATTAATTTTTCAGTCTCTAACAAGCAGGTAAGAATCAAGCATTTTCAATGCCCCAGCGCTGTGTGAAACCAATTGTTGATTGGGATGCAAGTGAAGTTCGGATCTGTGGCTGAAGTTGAAAATGCACCAGCTTGTTGGAACCAGAAATAGGCCGGCCAATGTGGTGCTATAGTCTCCACAGAGCTATAACAGCTGATTGCAAACTAAAAGCCTATAAAACAGCTAGCTCAATGCACATATTTTACTTCTTCTTCGTATTTATTATTAATTTACTTTGATTATTTTGATTCATAGGTTGTATAATGTTAAATTTATTTTCCTCAAAGCTGTGGTGTGATCATTTCTACAATATCAAACAAAAGTTTATATTCAAATTCAGTAGTACTATAAGGATAAGGAAATATGCAAAATCCAATGGTGAAAAGATGGAATGGCCTGTAATAAGAAATTCGACATTCTTTCTGATTCGGATATGTCACCTCCTGCAAAGAGCCTATGCCACATTAGTTGCTACTGCCGCTGCTACTTGTGTACAAGTGACTAGAATACACTATTTTTATGAAGAATTTCCGCTGGCCTGCTTATGTATTTTACTCAACAAAATAAATGCTTTTGTAAAGGGCCTGTTTGGCATGCATTTTGTTTTTGGTTAAAACAGAAATAGTGTTTTTACTATTGGAGTGTTTTGGCAAAAATCGGAAACACGTTTGGGAACGATGTTTTATTGTGGAAATGTTGGAAACAGAAAAATAAAAAACATGTTTGGTAAGCCATGCGTTTCAAGAATTTTGAAAACAAAACATGTTTGGTAACTCCAATTCTTGTTAAAAAAAAAAAAACACCATGTTTGGTTATCATTGTTTTTAAATTTATTTATAAATTTATTTCTATATAAATAGTCTATATATTTTTTTCTTTACAGGGTAGGCTTCTAAGATGACTGAACAAGATTAAGACAGGAGTTGGTAATATTTATTACTGAAACTACTCTCTGACTTGTAGTATACACACATTGGATCCTTTTGATTTGATAAAGTGGTACGTAGCATTTCACTTTTTTATTATATTAACAGTTTGAATTATTAATCAGAATATTGGTGAAATACGATCAACAAAGAATTCAGAATATTATCGCTGGAGACCTAAATGAATCACCCAAGCAGCCCTGCAAAACTCCTCAACTTGCTTTCCTTCTCTCCACTTTTTTGCTCTTGCAACCAAATTTTCTGTCTTCAAATAAATTTGCATATTGCCGTGTGAAGGCTTGAACTTCAAATTTCATCTATAAAAAATGATCTAATTTACTTATTAAAAAAAATGGTCTAATTCACTTATAAAGAACAACAAACTCATTCAAACTCATTTCATAGTCCTAGTTTGTTCTCAATGAAAAGAAGATGGACATCAACAACAGGCTCATTACGAACTCAAAGCGTGGTTTTACAAAGTCACTCAAAGCGTGGTGCCATAGACGATCCAGGAGCCGTACATGACCTATATACTTAGCAGTGGATGAATCTAATTAGGTTGACTTAAATCATCAGATTTAAATCCAGATGCTCTGGCAAGCTCTGACAATTCTTGCTCTCCACTCAAAACCTGCAAGACGTAGTGTTCTATAAGAACAAACCTTTAAAAAATGAGACAATTTAAGATCACCTTTTTCATTTCTAATCTATCTATTTGAAGTTAAACTTCACAAAACATCTATCAAGGAGTCATAACATAAAATAAAAAAAAAAAAAAAAAAAAACACCCTGCTAGAATGGAAGCTTCTCAAATCATATTCATTCTTTTGTATTAGGAAAAATGACAAAGAAATTGAGAACAAATTAAACAGGAGATTAAATTAAACAGGAGATATAATTCAAAGTTCAACCACAATTCACTTCATTGTTTACAAATTTCAACAATAGGATTAAAAAACGAAGAAAAAGATGGTTAACAAATAAAAAGATATTTCCTTATGTTTTCCTTACAGGAGACATACTTCAAAAACACAAATTTCACTTCCATGGAACAAGCTTCAATAGTAGGACACGCCATCTTCATAACAGCACACATCACCTTCAAGAGAGTATCAACACACTTCACATCTGTAATGGTAGAATTTAAGTTGAAAAATATTAACAATAATATCAACAGTAATAAAAGCAAAATAGTAAGAGCAAATATGATATGTATTACATATATATATTACAAGCCCACAATACCAACAAATATATTACAAATAAAAGAAAAAACATACCATCAGTTTCAGGAAGATCAAGAGTGCCCAAGAGAATTCCAGATTCGATCAGCAATAGTATTACACAACTGATCCATTTCTCGAAGCTGAGCTGGAGGCACATGCTCAACAATCTCATCGTTTTCACCATCACTTTGAGGAGGATCGTCACCATTAAATAAATCATCAGGCTGATACTGATTTCTAATGAAATTGTGTAATGTGCAACAAGCCATTACAATCAAATTATTCCAACCACTTTTACTAAATGTTGTGCCACTACGACTACCAATCATAACTTCTTCCACCATAATATTCACAAATTTTTCAATGAGTGACTTATCCCATAACAATTTTTCATCCTTCGTAACTTCAGCCACTTCTCCTTCAATTGTGAGATAATAACCGCATTGTTCCACATTCTCAACATTCATATCCATCTAACATATTAATAACAATACTATAATTAATAACGACAAAAATAATATATTTTGACTAGAACATATAGACTAACCTATTAATGTTCAAACATTCACTTAGACAACCCACTTATATTATAAATAAAAAAAAAATTACATTTTAGAAGCAACGTGCGACAATTTATTAAGAAAAGGAAACACATTAGCTATAAATTGTATCACTCGTGAATCGCGCAACACTTGAAAGAGAGTTCAAATTACATTAGACCCAAAAAGGATAGAGAAAACATATTTTATGTTTATGATATCAGCAGCCATGTCGGAGGTAATTTAGTGGAAACTGCCAATAAATATTCTAGCCCACTATTCTACTCAATTGTGGAGACTAGAACCCAGGTACATCCTTGAACTATTTATCAAGCATGGGAGCCCCAGGGGAAGTGGTTGCAAATGATCAAAGCTAAACCTTTAGAACCTTATTAAAGGGCTACAAGGATGACAAGGAAGAGCTCCTTCTAAATTCTAACCATATTCAACTTTATTTTGCCCAAGGAAAAGACTATTAGATTGCTACAAACTTACTATGACAATTTGCAATCACATAGTTCCATAATACCAACCATGATAAAAACATGGTACAGAGAAACTCAACATGTTATACTGCACTGTTATCAATATCGACAGATCATATTGTACACCAATCAGTATGCAATATCAAAAAATCAAATTGTTACATGTTATATTCCTATGCGCCTTTCCTGGTTCCCACTTTTAACAAGCAAAAGAGAAATCAAGAATTTTGCAAAATGACAAAAGGTCTCCATTGTTCTTTATATGTCAAGTTCTAATTCAGTAGTTAAGAAATTTAACCTCAATCATACATCCATACTGTAGATAGGAATACAGATACATTGTAGAAGGTTACACACAACTTAATAAGAAATTCACTTAAACAAATCTTTTATTGAAAAAGTGAATTCAGGTGATAGTAAATCAAGATTCATTATTAACAATCTAATAATGTACAGTTGCTTTAAAATAGAAAGTTGTATCTCAAATTTTCAAATCAAATTGAACAATAGACTCCACCACAACATTATTGTGGTAATTAATCTAAAAAACTGAAATAAAAATTTAGAATTTATACAAATATAAGATTATTAGGTTCCAACACAACACTGTTGTGGTAATTAATCCAAAAACCGAAAGAAAAATTTAGGGTTTCTGCAAATATTGGTTTCCCTTCAAATATAAGCTCAAATCTAACAATATAGAAGAGTTTTATGTTCGTAAAACTGAAAGAAAAATTACGGTTTTCAGGAAAAATCAATTTTTTTTAAAAAAAAAAACCTCCAAAATCAAAGAATATTTACACACTATCTATGGATTTCCAACAAAAAAACTAAAAAAAATATAGAAAAACAGTCAACATGTTGAACTTAATCGAACAAAGTTAAACCAAATGGGTCAAACCTGGCTTCTTCTTCAACGGAAAGTGTAAAGAGCTTTAGATCGATGGTGGTTTTAAGCAAAAAGGCTTGAATTGATCGAAGTTTTTAGAACCCAAGCACTGTATAGTCGAATCGCCCTAAATCGCCACAGAGAACATGGATGGAGGAGAGAGAAAGTTGGGGTGCAAAATGACCTAAAATATTTAAGCGTCGCCTTTATACTTGTTGTAGAGTGTTCTAAGTTTAGCCGAATTACTTCCTCCGCTTTAGTGCATGAAGTAGGCAAACAGTGCTGAAACAACTTAAAAACACCATTTTGGTCTTTCAAGTTTTGGGCCTTTTTCTTAAAATGTTTTACAACTGTTCCAAACAAAACATAAAGAACCAAACATGCTTTGGGCCACTTTTGAGTACCGTAACGAACCTGCAACAAAAACACATGAAGTAAAACAGATACCAAACAGGGCCAAATTCTTCTCATTTTCTAATATTTACTTTTTGCTTTGGCCTTGGAAAGCTTTGTGAACTTAAACTTGTATTTTGATTGTTATATCAAATCCCCGTTATGCTTTTTGATAATTTTGTTAATACCAAGTGATGTATTTGTGAATTTCCTTCTAATTTGTTCTTAAAACCCAAAAGAAGTCTCAAATTTCACCTAATTATTCCTTTGTTTGAAAAACCTTGATGTATTAACTTGTATATACTATATCATCGTTACTTCTTTACCTCATGCTTCATAAAACCGCCACCAAATTAAAAGACTATAAAATTGATTATACAAATTCACAGATCAAATAAACACTCGAGACTAAAATCAATGATCGGTATTTGATTAATTCTCGACACGTGGCTTGCATGAGGTGGGTGGACCACTCTCAACGGCATAGAGATAATGAGAGAGAGAGAGAGTAGAGTAATGCACCTTCTATCTGATTGTGTGGCCCAACTTATTGCTTTAGCCCAAACTACTGTTTTGAAGGGTGTGTTTGGCTGAAATAATATCCAAAATTCAGGTTTTTGGGTTATATTCGTCTTTTTTTTTAAATTTTTTTTTATTTTAAGTTTTCAATATTTCTACCGACATTATAACCTTTTAGGCACTATTTGACTGACCCAAATAGTGTTTTAAAAGTTATATTGGCACAAAAACATATTTTTTTAAAAAAATAATTATATATATATATTGAAAAAAAACCTTTTATTTTTTCACTATAAATACATCAACCCCTACTATCATTCACTTCATATCTAACCCATCTATATTCTCTACTCTTCAACTTACAACTTTAACCACTAAGTCATTTTCTCAATCTTTTATTTATATTTTTTACTTAATTTCAATTTCATGGATCCTCCACCACCATATTACAACTACAACTCCCAATTCAACCAATCAAATGATAATTTTGATCCCTTCTTACAATTTGTTAGAGAAGAATCTCAATTTCTGTCTCATTAACCTTCTCAAATTTCCAACATTCTTACTGAAGTGCTACAATCCGGTAACTCCCAACCTCCCAGAAAGCTAATGGTTAGTCAACCTCCTAATTGGTCCACGGCTGAAGATGAGGCTTTATGTTATGCGTGTATGGCCATTAGCTCTGATGCGGCATCGGTTCAAACTAACAAAAAACAACGTTATGGGGCTGAATTTATGAAAGTTTTGAGCAACACATTAGTGGTACTGGTACACCTAAAAGAGTTAGTAACGCCTGCTTGAATCATTGGTCCTTCATGCAATAAATGATTATCAAATTTTTTGGATGCATGACCCATATCGAAGGAATCACCCTAGTGGGCAAGACAATGAGTATAAGGTAAGTTATTTACTATATTAATTTTAATTGATAAATATTTTAAAGATTTGTTTTCTAATAATTATTGATTTTTTTTTTTTTTTTGTAAGATGATAACAGCCAAAGAGTTGTTCACTTGTCAAAATAACACTAAATTTAAGTTTGACAGTTGTTGGAACATTTTGAAGAGAAACAATAAATGACATTTACATTGTTAAAAAAAATCGGCATCCAATTACAAAAAAAAAAAAATCAAGTAACCCAACAACAACACCAAGTTCGGTTAAAGGATCGATGCACATAGGTGAAAATGATCCGACGAATGTTGAAAAATGTCAGCGACCACAAGGATGAAAAACAGCGAAACAGAGGCGAAATAAGGATAAATGTTCTTACCAATTATAGAATGAATTCATTAGCAAATTCGATCACGTAACAACCCTTTATCAAACTAAATCTGAAAGTCTTGAAACCGCTCAAATAACACGAGAGTCACGCAAAGCAGATAAAGAAAAGACCAAACAACTAGAGCTTCAAAGCAAACTAAGAGAGATTCAAAACAAACAAATAGCTGAAGAGATGTCAATCATGAAAACAGATCCAGAATCGATGCCAACACAAGCCGCAAAAACATTGCTAATTAAACGCCAAAATGAAATATTAGAATCTATACGTTTACGCAGTAACTCAAGCTTTTCATAGAATTATCCCAAACTTTTCATATGATTGTTCTGTTTTTCCTAATTGATTTTAATAATGGTATTGTATTATTATTATTATTTTTAAATTCATATCGTATTTTATTGTTTGATTTTTATAAATTCTAATAAATATTGTATTATTTAAATTTTTTGTATGATATAACTGTTAAAAAAAACTTTAAAAATAAAATTTATTAAAATTTAAAATATTAATATATTTGCAGAACAAAAATGTACCATTAAAGTACATGCCATAATTAAAATTTAGAAATTTTAAATAATTGATGGGACTCGTAAAAACTATTGACGTGATAATGCTTAAGGTTGTCATTTGAAACGGAGTGAAGTGAATATTTGTGGACCAATCTAAAGCCATCAGGTGAATGATAATGGGCCACAGCTCAGCCCACTACGAGTCAAATGCCGAATGCTAAATGTGGTAAAGAAAGCCGAAAGGACAGAGTTCCAAAAATAGTAACAATTGGAGAGGGAATATGAAGAGTGAGAGTCGTGGAGGATATGAAAGAGACAAGAAAGGGAAAGCAGATAGTAGAGAGAGAGAGACAGAGGGGCGAGAGATCGTTCCATTTTCGTTGAAATTAAGTTTAGGGCTAGGGTTAGGGTTTTCAGTTATCAATGGCGTCGAACGCACAGCAGAGCGGTGCGAAACCAGGGCTGAGAAAGCCGGTGTTCACGAAGGTCGATAACCTCAAACCGGGGACCAACGGTCACACGCTCGTCGTGAAGGTCCTGAATTCGAACGCTGTATTGCAGAAGGGCCGATCTGTGTCTCCGCACCTCCGCAACACTCGCATTTCCGAATGTCTCGTCGGCGATGAAACCGGCGCGATCCTCTTCACTGCACGAAATGATCAAGGTATATAATTTTGTTTTTCTCTGCAATCGATTATAATGCTGCATTCTTGGGCCATTTGGAACCCTAGAAATTGATCTTAATTATAATGTGGTTTCGTCTTTCATATGTTTTGAGTTACTTACATGTGGAAGGAATAATATGATTTGACATTTAAATTTGTGGAGTGAAACCCTAGTTAGAAATTGTTCTATTGAGGAACCTTTATTTATTTAAATATTTGATTTGTTTAGAATGGCTTGATAGGTCATTATGTTTTTTATTTTTGTTGAATGGGAGGAAATGTTGATTGTTATGCAATTTGTGACATTGTGATTTGGAAACATTGTTCTGGTTATTTTGCTGCTTTGATTATCTTGATTCATAGGTGGTATAATGTTAAATTTTATTTAATCAAAGCTGTGGGTTGATCATTTCTACAATATGATAATATCAAACAAAAGTTTACATTCAAATTCAGTAGAACTATAAGGTTTAGGAAATATGCAAAATTTAATTGTGAAAAGATGGAATGGCTTGTAATAAGAAATTCAATATTCTTTCTGATTCGGATACCTCTCCTCCTGCAAAGCCATATGCCACATATGTTGCTGCTGCTTCTTCTTCTTCTTCTTCTTCTAATTACTACAGGCCTACTTGTGAACAATTGACTAGAACACTATTTTTAGGAAGAATTTCCACTTGCCTGCTTATGTATTTTACTAAACAAAATAAATGCTTTTGTAAATTCTTCTCATTTTCACTTATAAAAAAAAACAATAAATAAATCTTCTCATTTTCTAATATTTACTTTTTACTTTGGCAGGAAGCCATTAACATATTCTTGGAAAGCTTTGTGAACTTAAACTTGTATTTAACTGTTATATCAAATCCCGGTCATGCTTGTTGATAATTTTGTTAATAGCAAATGATGTATTTGTGAATTTCCTTATGATTTGTTCTTAAAATCCAAAAAAAGTCTCAAATTTTACCTAATTATTCCTTTCTTTGATAAACCTTGATATATTAACTTGTATATACTATAACATCATCGTTACTTCTTTAGCTCATGCATATGAAACAAGTACTTGATTTTAGCAAGCTGTGTGTTAAGGGATATCATTTTCACAATTATACATAGATGCAAAGACTTGTGATAACTGATAAACTGTTTTCTAGGTTCACATTCCCTTCTATAGTAACGCCCTTGTTGCATTCTGTTCTGTTGAAACTTTCTAAATGGTTAAATACTTCAATATTCAGTTGGAATACCCAATTGTCTTTTTTCACCACTGTCGAAAGCACTAGAAACTTTGGGATTTGTTAAAATTAATTTGTATTTTAATCCAGTCTAGGTTTCTTCTTTTATTATTTTTTCTGCCCAGTTGATTTGATGAAGCCGGAATCTACTGTCATCCTCCGTAATGCAAAAATTGACATGTTTAAGGGAGCCATGAGACTAGCAGTTGATAAATGGGGCCGTATTGAGGTCACTGAACCTGTCACATTTGTAGTTAAAGAAGACAACAATCTCTCCTTGATTGAGTATGAGCTGGTGAATGTCCCAGCTGATTGACTGTGATCTTTTGGCAGCTGATATAGAGATATGGGGAAGCTCGGATATCTAAAGGCCGGATTAGTTGATGTTAATTCTAAGTTCTGTTAATGTCGTGCTGCTGTAGTTACTCCTTTTCTTTACCCGGTAGAACAGAGAGTTTGAAACTCGTTAACAAAATGATATTTCTTTCAGTATTACTAAGATATTAAGAAAGATTTCGTGTTAATGATATGTGGTATCTTGGCTTATAAATACTTTGCTTATGTATGGATTCCTTCCTGGTGTGCCTTTTTGGTTCATTTATGTACATGCAATGGCAGAAAGATCGTCTTTACAGGCTATTGTATCGAATTTAACAAAAAAAATTCTGGCCAAGCCATTTGATGCGCATTTTGCCAGGCAAAGGGTTGAAAATACATTCAGGAAAAAATTGTTGAAAATACTGTCATTTTCTTTAACTTTTTAGGTTAAACAATATTTTTTTTCTGATTAAAACATAATTTTAATGTAAATCATATATATGGGGTTTTTAGTGCCCTGCGCTATACTAGATTTCTTTTTTTTTTTTTTTTTTTGCTATGTTGGTAACCATGTCATCTCGTGGTCATTACTCTTTGAATAATAAAAAGGAAGTTGTTTAAAATTAATTTGATTCACTTTTATTATAAACTTCTTGCCTGTTGAATCATTCTGCAATGTGCAATGACAAATTTTCATAGCTGATAAGTTCAGTTTTTCATTATTAAAATAATAATAAAAACAACAACAAGAACAAAATGTAAAGATCCATTTTTGTTGGAAAAACTACCTCAATTTTCAAATTTTTGTTGAGGATTCTTGTTCTTTGATAGGCATTCCATGTCATATATGCTTGTTGAGATGGAAGCAGTTTTTCAAAAACAGTTTTAGTTAAAATACTGAAATTCGAAAGATGAAGGACAGAACTAAAATTCACAAGGTAGAGTTAGTCAAGGAAGATTTTTTTATTATTATTTTTTAGGTTAAACAAAATCACACACCAGACTTTTTGTACCAGCTTGGTATTATTGCCTATTGCCCATTTGGTATAAAGAGTAAAAAGGAATATGCATAGAATTCAGTAACGGAATTCATCATTAAAATAATACATACACATATACATATATATATATATATATTTTTTTTGAAGTTACCAAAATTACCAAAGGGGTCTTGGAAGTTTTGGGGACATTTTAATGAATTTTCAAGGTTAATCTTGTCAACATAAATATCGTGGACGAAACTCCATTGCCGCGAAAATACAGTTGCCTTGCTTATTTGTAATCTGCCATAATAAGAAACGGTTGTGTCATCTCTCTCTCTCCCTCTCTTACAGACACATACACATACACACAAAAACACACACATGTACACAGACATTCATGAAAACATAATTTTCTTCTGGAATTTGAAAGGAGAGAAAATTAACAAAGAAAAGGAAAAGAATGGCTTGCAGGCCATTGGCATTCCTGCTAGGCTTGCCTTTTGCTCTCATTGCTCTTGTATTATCTGTTGTGGGCGCTGTTATTTGGGTTATCGGGTAATTTTTTTTCCATTGACCTTTTTTTTTTCCGACGAATTTGTTTGTATTATTTCTCTGCATACATATATATATACAACTTTACACACACACACATATAAATTCCTCCTTTTGTCAAACTATTTTCTTAATTTTCTGATTTTTCTAACAATCATTTTTATTTCCTTATAATCTCCCTCTACATTTATATATGTGTGGCATTATATATATATATATATATATATATTATGCATGATGCATTAACTAGAGTCTAAAAAAATTAATGCATTTATCTTAGTTTAATTTATTTCTCCTTAATTACATTATTAAGTTTGCAGTTGATTATTGTGATATTAATTGATTGTTATATATATTGAATGGCAGGGCTGTTGTGAGCTGCATATGTCCTTGTTGCATATGTTGTGCTGCGATTGTAAATATGGCAATGTCCCTTGTGAAGCTTCCTGTAACTATACTCAGAAAATTCATTAGTTTGGTTCCTTGCTGATTATTTTCATTTTTGTTGTATTTTATGTATAATTTCTTTATGTACATGGGCGCGCTAGAATGTATCGTCAGTACTCGAGTTTGATCAGTACATGATATATATATATATACACACACACACACACACACATATATATATATATATATGAACTTTAATATTCTCAGGACTAGTACAGTGGCTTGTTTTTCTTTTTTTACGTATGTTTAGTGGATTTGTTAATTAGTGAGCTTTATGCCTTTGAGGTTGATGCATGATGTGTACTATTGAATTTTAAATTCAACAGCTTATGATTTAACTGAGATTATATTAATTAATTGCTCATTTATTTCTCTCAGAGACACATTCAAGTTTTTGTTACATTGATCATAATAGGATAATTAAATTGCAAAGGGGACTCTATGGTTTGGCAATTGGCATTATGTTATAATTAAGTAATTGATTTTTTAAATCAGACTGTAGTGTGACGAAATTAACAATATTCATCTGATTAATACATGGTGCAAAAGTAATCAAATAAACATGAATTAGAGGAATATTCTTTGCCATCGAATTTAAATTTGAGTCATTTAAAATTTGTTGAAAAGCTACAAATGCTAATCGAATGCTTAAAAAATGTCCAATTATTTTGATTTTCATAATATAAATCTCGTATGCTGATATTTTTCATAACATTAAAGCTTTGATGGAAGTTTTAAATCAACAATTTAAATCATTTAGCATATGGTCCTTTATTATTATTATTTTTAAGCAACTTTCATTTCTACACATACTTGAGCATAGTAAGCGACTGGGTACATTGTGTAGGCTCTTAAAAATGCTACAACATAATTAACTAAAGAACAAAGTGAACCCTTATTGTTTAAATTTTAGGCAAATATCACTTCTAATTTTTTGGTATATAAGTGTATTAAGTTTGAAAAAATGATAAAAGAAAGCTTGAGGTCATTGTTTCCTTACAAATTTTGCACGACATTCTTAAGATATAAAAATCTGAAAATGCATTATTCTCTTCCAAACATACCCGTATATATAAGAAGAAGAAAAAAAACAGGGGCACTTTATTCATTTCACATTCAATTATTATTTATTTTTTTATTTATTTTTTTTAATTATTGAGGAACACTTTAGTCAATTTCAGCATTCAGGTTCTTATTTACTCAAAAATTAAATGTTAGAATTTTTTTGGGAGTTATACACTTTATATGCATATTATAGTGGTGTTTTTTCTTGGCTCGCGACCTTAAACTAAAATCATTATCAGAATAAAGTTTAAGTAGGAATTTAAAGCATTTTAATTTTCATCATTCATGCATTATAATTTGCCAGAATTATCAGTTCCTCTTTCAAACTCAATGCACAGGGTTCTTCATCAATCTCAAGCAATTTTTCAATCTTTGGAAAACTGTATGTAAACCAATTTTTGAGAAAAATCTCTCTTCTATTTTTCATTCTTTTGAAAAACAAAAAACTCTACAAAAAAAAAAAAAAAAAAAAAAAAAAAGGTTCTATATGTTTATCTGGATAGTTCTCTTTTTAACATTTTTAAAGTTTCAGTAAATAAAAAAAATAGTTTAAAGAATTTAAAAAGAGTGTTATATAATTGTTTTTTCTTAACTAGAAGTTTAAAAAACAAAATTTCAGAAAATGTGGACCACCAGTTTTCAATTTGTTTTTTACGTTTTTTATTAAAAAAAAATAGAAATAAAAAAATTAAACCAAACACTTCAGTAATTTTACATAGAGTTATTAAAAATTGGAGTATTAGTACAAATTAGAACCTCACGTGAATTTGATTTGGTTTTCTTTCCCTCCAAACACCTTCGCGAACCAAACCAACCCATGAGCCATTAACGAAGAGTCGAGGACCAAACGCTTCCCACAAAACTAAATGGCATCGACCTCTTCTTCTCGCAACAATGGCTGTGCCGGAAGAATCAAATCTTCTGCTTCGACGCTTTACTCCGACAATCAGTCTCTCATTACTGTAAGTTCACCCTACTTCAAACCCTAGCCCTAATCAATCTTCTGTTTTTCTGATTCAAATAATTGAATCGATTTTCGATTGTTGATTTCAGGAAATCCGAAAAGCTATAATCACGATGAAGGAAGTCGCGGTTGATTTGGAGACAGATAATCAGTCCCAAATGGTACTTATAAACCCTAGTTTTTGAGTTCCAAATTTTCTTGTGATTCTTTTGATGGTTTGAAGTTTTTAACTGATTAGGTTTGATCATATGCACATGGGTTTAATATGTTATCTGATAAACTAAATTTTTAGTTGTTATACAGCGTGTGACGATGCTGATTGTTCTTATTTCTATTTAATTACTTAAGTAATTTATACTTAAAGATGTTGAACTCTAGTTAGAAGATGCTGGTGAACCATTGTTTGTGGAGTTGTAGATAACTCTAGAGTTTCTCTCAGCTGAATAGCCCTAATTTTTAAAATTAATTAGTAGTTGTAACTGGTCAACCCTGTTGAATTTGACTATCTGCTGTGGTTTCAGATTTTGCTGATTTAAGGGTAGTAGCAAACTCCCATTCTTTTAAGATTAAGATGATTTTATTATTATAACTGATGGTTGTTTAGACTTCTTTTAACTGATAAACTCCAGTTTGAAGGTGCTGATACACCCTATTTTGAAGTTTTAGACTAGTTCCTAGTTTTGAGTAAAAAAACATAGTCAACAATGGTGATGAATGTCATCTATTGAAATATTGGATAAAATATTTTTGTCAAATGATGAAAATAGTTTGAGGAGGATGAGAACTTTGGAGTTTTAGATAAATAGATGCTGATTGTCATTGCAGGTGAAGGAACTTGAAGATGGCGTTATCCAGTTGTTGGAAACTTCTGAAGATTGTATGCATTTTTCCTCAGTAATTCAATTGGTTGGAAATGGTTACCAGCCTAGAGAAGAGGTGCTTATTATTATTTTTTCCCCTTACATTTACAGTTTCTTCATATGTGTGGTGGATTTTCTTTCACCTATTTCAAAAATAATATTTTGTTAATTTTATTTAACTCATCTCTGTTGGATGTCTGAAATGCAGCTAACCGATTTTAACAAGTTGTTTGATGACGAGGTTGCAAAGTCCAAGGCTAGTTCATCCGCGGTTCCACAAAATCTTCCAATTTTACGTCAATTTAGGGAAGCTATCTGGGTATGTTTCCCACTAGAATCAAAAAGGAAAATAATTTTAGTTTTGCTTGGATTTGAGCTAATTATAAACATAAGCATACTTGTTGCACTTTTGTCCTGGTTTCTGTTACTCTTAGTTATGCTTTAGGTTGCCTTTTCTACTGGGTGTTAAAAGCCCATATGAATTATCCATATGAATAAAAACTAGAGTTAAAATGTTATATGTAATTCTTTTATTTTAAATTTGGAAGAATTAATTAGCTAATAGAAGAATTAATTTGATTGAATTCCATAATAAGTTCAATACTTCTATCTGCATTAAGCATGCTTAATTTATATGATCCTAGCTGATGGATAAAAGTACCAAAAAATTGGTAAAGGTTGTCAAATTTTCATGTTATAAACATGCTGTAATTTTTTGTTTTTTTATTTTTTAATTTCCTTTTTGTTTACCTTGGAGCCAACATGACTTGGTCTATAACACTTAATGAGTGTACCCCCTGGAAGGAGAAACAAACTGTGTCATATATATGACTAAATAATTTGAGACTTCTGGCTTATGAAAGGCAGGTTGAAAAGTTGACAGTGGTCTGTTGCTGCATATTGTTGCCTATGATCTTGGTTGTGCATGTACCTGTAGATGCATAGAAGACGCTGAAGCAGGGAAGATAATCTAGTTGTGTTCCATTGCTAGACCATATGTTTGTGGTGATCCATTAATCTTTATCCAAGGTTTTTCGATAGAGAATCACCGTCTGTGGTAGAACTAGATGAGAAGTCTCACTAGAATAAGAAGTAAAGGCGGAGTAAACTGTCAGCACATAATGAATGTAGATCTCGCAGTGATATTTTTGTAGGATGTTAATATCATGGCTTGGTATGCTTGACTGCATTAATTTATGTACAAATTCCTCAATATGAGTGCTAGCTGAGCCTTTGCTCGACTTACATGAAGTATTGATTAAGTCAGAAGTGGACTAATGGCAATGGAACTCTTTGCCATTAACATATGTTCTGTGGGATGAGGGGCCAACAAATCTTGGTATAATATATGTATTTAAGTCTTTCATTTGAGGAGTTCAAAGATATGTCAGCTCCTTTAAATTTTTGAAGATTCAGATAGCGTTGCCGAAGATATTTGTGTTCAATGGGGCCTTAGTGACAAAGGCATTTTTTAGAAGGCTTTAATGGAAATTTTGTTGTGCAGATCCGGCATTAGAGACCTAAGAGAGTAATTGACTAGGCAGCTTATAAACGAAAAAGCAGTTGGACTAGAACAGCATATTAGGTGTTTAAAGAAGTGAAACCATGGGTGCGACATAATATGTGGTGCTTGGAAACATGTATTATTTTGAAGTCAATCGTATCCCTTCTTGGCATTTTGTTATGGGAACTTGATTTGTTAATCTTGTTCTATAAACTACAGAATGGGCTAAAATTTTCTTGCTGGGTCTTATGGATTATTGTTAAGGAAGTTGGGGGTAGATTGTCAATGACAACGGAACCTCTTTTAGGAGCCTGTGTGCTGCATGTGTCACCGGTTGAATTAACTCTCCATTGTGTTTTTGGTAAAACGTAGTCTGCAAAGAGATAGGATTACTGGAAAATTTCTAATAGGTGATTAACCACTGACCAGACTTCTATCATTTTTGTAGAAGGATTCAAGGTCTGTATTTAACTTGATTTTCTGATGATTAAATCCAGTATTGCTGTTATATAATCATTATGTATTGAAAAGTGTTGCTCTAGGATGCTTATTGCAGTTATATTATCAATATGTACACAAGAGAGCTGATGTAGGAGTACTCTTCCTCTCTCTCCCCCTTCCTCTCCTTGCATAATGCATATTGTTGACCATTATTGTTTTTTTTTTTTTTTTTTTTTTACCTATACATTACTCATCAGTTTTTAATACTTTACTTTCTATTAATATTATATTTATTCTCTAATTTTCAGGGTATCTTCAAAATTGTATACTTCTAATTTGGTAAAGTTCTTACTGTTTTCCTGCATGGCAGAATGTTCATCATGCAGGACAGCCGATGCCAGGTGAAGAGCAGGAGGATATTGTAATGACCAGTACACAGTGTAACCTTCTGAATATGACTTGCCCATTAAGTGGAAAGCCTGTTACTGAGCTGTCAGATCCAGTTCGCAGGTATTATACATGTCTTCTAGCACTTCCATGTATTCTTATTTCAGTGATGAGATTTGCATTTTCGTTATATCGTTCTGGTTACCGGCTACCCATTTTGATCTCATAAATCAATATAGGTTGAAGGTATATATAGGTAATTAATCTAAACAATAAAATGTAATCATACTTTTTAAGCTTGTTTCTTAGATTATGAATGGGCGACAGAGGTTACCTTGTTTCAAGTCCTTTTGCTTGAGTTAATTTAGATTTTTTTTATTTTTCCAAATTTTTGGCTGGTTTAAATTTATTTTCCCTTCAACAACAACATCTGTATATTTGGGACTTTGACCACTCACTATATGCCAAGGAGATTATGCAAATGCTTTGACCACTCGGTTCACTCACTATATGCCAAGGAGATTATGCAGATGCTCGTGTCCAGTTTGAGTGAATATAAATTCCCTTCGAGTGACATAAAGAAGTTCACAGAAATGTTTAAAATTCTATTTGGTAGGTATTGGATTTGGTGACAGGTGTGTGGACATGAGAGTAGCCACTTTGTGCAATTTAATTTTATGTCAAAGGTTAGGTCTCCCAAGTCTTTTCCTTCCAACATGTGTGGATGGGACCAACACCAAACAATGACCTTTAGTGGCCTTTAGGCTTTGGGTTTGTGAGGAGTCAATTGGAAACTTCTAGTGCTATAACTGGGAAAAAGTTGTTGTATTCTCTTTTGCTTCAATGAACATAGAGAAAAAGGCTATCATGCCCAAAGAATATAAATTAACCACTATTTATCAATATTTTTAAAGCATTGACTGGTGTATGTCCTGCCTACTTTTTGTGCTGGAAGGGAAGAATGGAGACAGACCTAACCTTTGGTATCATTTTACATGGAGTGATTCTTTTAAGCCTCGAATCTGCACTCTCACACTCGCTGGTTTGGGCTTTCACCATTGCAGCAAGCAATGCCCCCCTAGCAAATTTTTATTTATTTTTGGTGTGGCGGGTGGGTGTGTTGGAGGGGCGAGTTGGATTTGTTATTGTAATGTGACTTGAAATGGATTGCTTGGTATCAGAATAGGAACAAGGTACCTTTATTCCAATTTAGTTGGATATGCCAAATGCAATAAGCTGATTTTAATTTCTAAATGTGAGATTACATTCTTGCTCTAAAGCACCTATGTGCTGCTGGGGGGCAACATATCCGTGTGTCCAAGGCTTGGACACGTGTCCTACACCTTGAAGAAGTGTCCTATATAATAATATATAGATATATATATATTTATAAATATGTGACAGACACTTAGAGGACATGCTAGGACACGGACATGGATCTATCTGTAGAACCTTTTTTTATAATGGAAGAAGAAGATGATATCTATATCTATGATTCTATATATATATGTATATCCATTCTCTATATATATTACACAAAGAAAAAAGTTCATTAAGAAGATTCAAGATATGAATCATGGTATAAAGTATAAATTGATACTGTTGTAAACCATAAAACGGAAGCGAAGAGATAAATAAAACAAGTAGATCACACAGATATTACGTGGTTCAGCCACCAAGGCTTACATCCACGACATAAAGAGCCCAAAGGGCTATATCACTTTTATAATACTCTCTCAATTCATATACAATATAATGGCGGAGGCTCCTTTATATAGGAGAATAAATTATGAGAATGGAAAGAATTAGAAAATAGGAAACAAGGAGGATTTTTCTCCATTGATTCCTTTAGTAACACCAATTCTTTAATAATAGGAAACAACATTTATTACTGAAAGATTTTCCTCCACTGATTCCTCCATTAAATCTTTAATACTCCCCCTCAAGTTAGAGCATGAATGCCCAACTTGCCATTGAGATGAAGAGTAACAATAAGTGTGAATGATGAAAAGAGAAGAGAGAAGACGAAGAACAATGCTACCGAACACACCGACAACCCAAACAAGTCAACAAAAAATTGCCGGAGGCACGACAAAGGCGAGGACAATGTTACCGAACAAACTGGCAGCCCAAACAAGTTGATAAAAATTGCCGGAGATACGGGAAAGACGAAGACAATGCTACCGAACACACTGACAGCCCAAACAAGTCAATAAAAATTGCTGGAGACACGGCAAAGGCGAACAACATTACTGCCTAACAAACCGGCAGCCCAAACAAGTCACAAATAGCAGTGAGAAACCCTTAGCAACATTTCAGATGCTAAGGGAATACCCCAAAATAGGGGTCCGAACCTAGGAATACACAACTAAATTTATAGATCGTGTTCTCCTTTGCCAAGATCATGTTCTCCATTGCCACCTCTAAGATTGTTCGATCTGAAATTTTTGGTAGACGAGACTTGAAATTTCTGGTAGATAAAGTTGAGAGAGAGAGAGAGTAATGTCATCCAAATCGGTTGATGGAGGGATGCATAAGGTTATAACAAAGAGGGAGACCATATGTGAGATAAAAGATGAAAAATTTGAAGAGATGAGAGATAAGCACGGCTGGAAGAGAGAGAGACATCTCCGTGGATGAAAGAGGGTGAGGAAGAGAGAGAGGGGAGAAGATGCAATATTATCTTCTTTTACCACTTGGTTGGTCACAAGTATAACACTTGTGGATTGAAATTTGGGTCATTGGACTCTTCTATTTTTTTAAAAAAATATGAAATGAGAAATTGAGAAAAAATTAATTATATTTTATATATAATAAAATTATATTATTATTTTATTGGCGTATCCTTGTTGTGTCTGTGTCCTATTTTTTTGAGATTTAATGTATCGTGGTGTCCCCGTGTCCGTGTCTGTGCTTCCTATTATTCTTGTTTATTGGTTGATAATTAATGAAGCGTAGTGCCTCCAGAAAGCACTCTCGACTATTAGAGAAACTTGTTATGTAGAAAATAATCATGTTAAGGCATAGCACTTGTTTTGGAATTTAGATATGCATTTTGGAATGCAGATCACCGAGATCAGAAAAACTTTTGTAGATACTAAATTGCAGAAATGCATGGTGATACCATTTGGCATGTAGATTGCTGGGCTGTCTGTTAAAGCAAAAAACTTAGGAAACTAAGTCAAGAACCAGTAAAAATACTAGTGGGACACATCAGACACTCTAAATGAAATGAATATGATCCATTATGTTCTTTATGATGCACATTAAAGTAATTCATTGTCCATACAAAATGAAGTTTCTCATCTGAATACAATTCCTTAGAGGCTTAGAGCCTCATCCATGACTATTTGGGTGCAAGCATATGATTTATATTCCAACACTAAATTTACTAGATTTGAGAATGCATGAAAATGTTAAACCGAACTTTTATCTCTTACTTCTATTGGTTCTGCTTTCTTTATTTCTACCGATGCAGCATGAACTGCAAGCATATATATGAAAAAAAGGCTATCATGCACTACATAAGGTCCCAGAATACGCTATGCCCTGTAGCAGGTATTTCTTTTTTCTTTTTGCTAGTAATAACTTCTTAATTCTATTGGTGGGCTGTTGCCTCACCCTTGACCATATTTTCTTTGTTCAGGTTGCCCCAAGATTCTGCAGGCAGAAAATGTGGTGTGCGACCCATTGTTACTTGTTGAAATTGAAGAAATGCGCTCAATGAGCAAGCAAACTGCTATGCCTAATGTGATAGAAGATTTCACTGAGTTTGACGAAGACGACAACTAATAAGGGTTTCAACTACAGGTAAGCTTTCAACGTGAAATCAAGACCATGAAACGATCACTTCAGCTCCTGTACTAATAGGCTATTCTTTCTTTTATGATTCGGAGAAACGTATTTTTACCCCACATCTCCAAAAAGAAAATCCCTTTTTTGCCCTCTTCTGGAATCTGCAATATAGTGTATCTTCATCTTTAGTTTTCTTCTTTGTATATTTTGCATATGTAATCAAACTCAAAAGTTGGATGAGTTGAATTTCTGATTTTTCAGTAAGTTTCTGGATGCAGTTGAATGAAGAATGACATCTAATTACTGAGATGTTTTGTAATGGCTTATTGTAGAGCATATTGCAGAAATCCATTTCAGATTTAATGGGGGTATCACAATTCTAACAGAGGTCTCTGAAGGGACAAAAGTTTCAAAATTTGGGAATATAAAGTCAATATATCACCTTGACCTTCGCCATTTGAAGTGACACTAGTTAATTTCTTCATTGAAACTGTGACTTAACCTCTGATTCTTTCCTTGATCTTTTTTATTTCCGGAAATTAATATTCTTTTAATCTTCTGTAAACAAAGAGGTTGAATCCAGTTCTCTGTTCACCATATGGGTGAACTTCAAGATTTAACATCATGTTATGACCAATCCTTTGTCTGATGCATTGTCCAGAGAAACCATCAATTTATGCAAGTCAGTTTTTTTTGGTAATTATAAGTGTTCCTATTTAGGCTATTTTACATGCATAATTCATAGATGAATCAACAGATTTGTTACCCTTTTACGCATGTTTCGCTTAGTTCTATAGAAAATGCATTTTCTGAAAATTTCAAAAATAAAAAAGAACTACAGTATAAAAGTGAGTCTTTGCTTTTCTTTTTTCTTTTCTACTTTCGGAAAAGATTTATCGAAAAAATTGTTGTCATATAATTGTCCGGAAGATAAATTTAAGATGATGGTTCAGTTCTCCTGGCAATTTCATAGTACCGTGGGTTGTGTTTTCATGCCATTTGACAGTTTTGGCTGTGCAATTCTGGCTATTTACTTGGAACAATATAGGTTTAAATCTTATATGTTCCTGCAGAAATTTAAAGTGTGTTTAAAGCACCACTCCAAATTAACAGGCAGTGTGGTGATTCTTCAATCTAAAATAGCTGTGGAATTAAATATGAACATCTACTTATCTGCCTATACGAATTCCATTCTCTCTCTCTCTCTCTCTCTCTCTCTCTCTCTCTCTCTATATATATATATATATATCTATTTATATATAATAAAAGCAGGGGGATTTGATATTTGGCGTCCTCAACGGTCTGAAGTTAGCAGTACCCCCAAGATTTTAGTCCTTTTAATAATTAAATAATCTCTTGGTAACATTTTAATAATGGGATTGAGCTTTTCATCTTGCTTTAAATGCTTTTGCGTGTAAATTTAAGAGATGATGTCTATTGTCAAATAGCATAGAACCACTTCATAATTGGGGCATTACTTCAAAGTCAGTAACGTTTTTTTAAGAAAGTTGAGGATATATTCATTCAACTACAATATGTGATGGTTGAATTATATACGTGTGTGTGTGTGTGTATATATTCAAATAAACATACTTCTAACATGAAAAGTTGCTCTTAGGGCCAAAAAAACGAAAAAAAGAAAAAAAGAAGTTACACGGCTAAACATGCACTTGTTGAAGTGGTAAGGGCTCCTGTTCTATGATGTGAAAAGATTGTTTGTGATGAAAAATACTTTAATGCTTTTGGAATATGTATGATGTGATATTAATTACCGATTAAATGTGTATATATATTTTATTTGTGTGACAGGACACAATTAGTATTATATATATATATATTATTTATGTGACCGGACATAATTAGTATTATCGATGAATTTTTTTATTTTTTTATATTTGTAACATGAGTATGATTACTTTAATATATATAACATGAAGTTAATGGGGGTCACAATATCACATTCAACTCTCTACTCACACTATATTTTTAATGACTTTACGAATCAATAATAATATATATTCAATTCATTAACCTCAAATTAGTTATAAAAAAAAGAAAAAGGTGTTAGACTTATCACAAAGTCATATCACATTATGGGATAAAAAATGAAAATTAATTAAAACTTTAAAGAACAGTTGAACATGTTATAAATGGGTTTGTTGGGATTTTATCTACTGTGGAAAAATATTTTACAAGTGAAGGTGGCCCCAAATAAGTATCTTCTAAAATACCATAATATTTTTCACTTGTAGCATATGTCTTTGACACACTGCGCATGTCCAATTCAACTAACATACCCAATTCACTCTATTTATTGTCAATAGAAACCTATATATATATTTGGCGGTAACGTTTGGTGGGAAAATGAATAAATCTATTTTTTCTATCACACACTCTCAATCGTTTCTCAAGCGCGTTCCAACAACCGCGAGATCTGAATTCGTCACTTAGCCACGTGGCGCCATGTGATTTAGCTGATGTGGGCCCAGATTGACAAACAAACACCTTAACGCGCGTGGTAATAAAACCCTCATATCAGAGTGGTGTGTGTGTGAACCCCTTCTCTGTACCTCCGCCCTAGTCTTCTTATAACAGCGAAAGAGTGAGAATGTAGAGAGAGAAACAGAGAGAGAGAGAGGGGGGCTCGAGAAAGCAAAACCTATCACCCAATCTTCACGGAACGCAGAAGGGTCGAAAGCAAAAGAAACTGATATCGAATCAAAGAAACTCTCATCGATGATTTCTAGGGTTTCTTTTTCTCTCTACTCTTGAATCATATTTATACCTCTGATCAATCCATCGGACGACGGAATCACAAGGTCAGTGACTACTCATTCATCGTTTTTTCTCCCCAATTTACAGTTACGGAACATCAAATGAAGAAACAAGGAGATTAATCAATACGCATTTATTTAAACTACAGATTTATTCATATACAAAAACACACACACATAGACGCACCATATCACATATATATTGGTAGTTCTTGTCATGCGATTGGCTCGGTCAGCTTCGGTTGCGAAGCGGCATAAGAATCTGCAATTGGGTATTTCTAGGGCTCGAAAGAAGCACAAGAGGCTTGACGCAATATGTGAAAAGGCATATACTCGAAGCCATCGTGGTGTCAAAGCTGAATCAAGTGAATGTAATGTTGGAAGTGAATTGAGTATTAATGAATCTGAGCTTCGTCGAAGTACAAGGGTTCGGAGGGCTCCAGTAGTGCTCGATGCCTCGCCCCCGCCTGCGAGGAAGAGGGCAAGGTTCCATAGAGGGAATGGAAGTGATTCTGTTGGAAGGGCGAAGAGGACTGATGGGATTAAGACTGATTCGACTTGTTCCACTTCGAAGGATATTGAGGAAGAACAAGTTAGTTGGACGTCTAGATTGAGATCTAGGGCTAAAAATGTGACTTTTGGAGTGAGAGAGAAGGGGGATTCATGGCCAAGGGGTAAAAGGAAGCTTTTTGAGGATTTGGATGGGCTTGAGAAAGAAACCAAGTTGGAGATTGGAGATTTGGATGACAAGAAAGAGGGACCAGAAAGTGGCAAGTCAACGGTTGTTAAGTCAAAGAGGCCGGGTAGAGTTAATGCTTCAAATGTTTTGAGGAATGCACATCAACAGATTGAGTCACATGGTGTTGAAGAGGATGATAAAGAGAATAATGAAGTGGAGGTGCTAGAAAGCAATGGTGGGGAGGATCCCTTGCATTTAAAGAGTGGAGCAGGATGTGGAAGTGAGGCGGAAGTAAAAGATGGTAATTCCATGCAGTTGGTCGAGAAAGAGGAGGGTGTTATTTCAACTGTCTCAGGGTTAGAAGGTTGCGTTGGCAATGAGAAGGTGGAAGCCATGGGCCAGGATAAGCAGGTGGAAGAATCAGAATATGTGGAGGGAGGAAATCAAAGTGATGCTATAGAAGTTGGCGAAGTTCCCACTGACCAAGCAGAGGATGAAAGATGTCATGATAAACCTCAGGAGGATGAGAATGCTTCACAGTTGGATAAGACAAATTGTGTTTCAACTTATGCACTTATCAAGCCACGTGTAAAAGAGGGGAGAAGATGTGGTTTATGTGGGGGAGGGACAGATGGTAAACCTCCAAAGAAGTTAGTACAAGATGGGGCTGGGAGTGATAATGAGGCATATAGTGGATCTTCAGGTTCTGAGGAAACCAACTATGACATATGGGATGGATTTGGCGATGAGCCTGGCTGGCTTGGACGCCTCCTGGGGCCCATAAATGACCGTTTTGGTATTGCTGGAATTTGGGTTCATCAACATTGTGCTGTATGGAGTCCAGAGGTATGATATCCTCAATAAATGCAGTTTATTGTCTTTCGTTTTTCATAATTGGCTTGCTTTCGTATGGAGTATGCAGATTGCTAGTATTTCTGTTTTGATGATTTATGCATATTTTCAGTGATTCCCTTATTAAAATTATAATATAATTTTGCTATAGCTGATAGATAGAAGTCCTTTGTGGATCCATCGAATTGTGCCAATGTGAAGATATATTGTTTCTTGCATTCTTTTATGATGAATATCTAAATTACTCACTTATTAAAAGCATGATACCGTAACGGCTTCTAAACAAGTAAGCATTGGTCACCCATTTTCATGTGGAGTAAGTTTGAGATTGGTGTGAGTCTTGTGACTAGCAATGGGTAATCACTTTTTTCTTGAGTCACTAATCAAAAAAAAAAAAATTACATTTTTCTCGAGTCACAAAAGTTAATCTGAGAATGTGGTATGTATTGTTGTGCTTACTCTCTAACAGATTTAGCTTTTGGGATAAGTGGTTTTTTGATGTGGCATCGGATTTTTGGTTTTTGGATGGTCCTGGATTCAAGTCTCTACATATGCTTCTGTCCCGGTCCTGGATTCATGTCTCTGCATATGCTTTTGTCCCCTTAGTATTTTTTTTTTTGATTGCTCTCAATATGTTCATTTAGTTTGCGCATGTGAATGGGTTGCATGTGATGGGGAGTGTTGGAGATTGATATTTATTGTAAGAGTCCATTTCTTTATAATTTATTGTTTGACAGTAAATATACTTTCCTAAAGTGGCTAGCAATACAATAACTTTTATTGTAAATCTTAATATAATCGGGCTAATGTCACATATACAATGAAATGACAAGAAATGGTAGAAAATGAAAGGGCAACAGGAAGAATGAGTTGAAAATGGAACTTGGATGAAAAAAGGGGAAGAATGAAAGAGGAGTAAGTAAATGGAAAGCCGTCCATGCTATATGCAATAAACTGTTGTGCTTACCAAAATGAAGCTGAGTGCTGAGACTCAGAGCGAGATTTTGAAAACTCCTTTTTTCCTTTTCTTTGTTGGTCCATATTGATACGAACGCAGGGGGGCTTGATAGCTTGTCTGCTTATGTCAACATCAAGAGATTTTGAATGCTTCACTTTGAGGGAGATATTGCATGTTATGAAATCAAAGGAGCTTTAGTAGGTGACTGTTTTTTTTGGTTAGATAGGAAATGGTGCCATTACTAGATTCTCAGGTCGATTTATATGAAGGTTTTGCGAGTTACAAGATGCTGATAGAGTTAAATTTGTTTTTGAATTCTTTCATGATGATTTTTAAAGCTTGAGTAGTGTACTATATATGATTTATAGAAGATTTAGGGAGTTCTTGCAAAGCTTGAGAATCTTTCAACTCTAAACCTAATCAAAGTATTGAAATTTGATTATTATGAGAGGACACATATATGGTACAGAAAACTGTTTGGATATATTTATTTTTATTTCCACTATCGTGTTCCCTACTCGTTACGAACTGAGGCTAAACCTTATGAATGCACTCATCGCCAGCAATTTAATTGCTTTAAGGAGTCCATGGGGTTGAACCTAAGATGTATTTTTCTTGAGTATGGACCTTGATTGATGATTTAGGATGGAGAAGGTACTAGGTGAAGTTTGAAAAGACCTTCGGTGGTGCTAGATTAGGGTCGCAGTCAACGCGGATTCATAGAAGAGATAGTGTAGCATTGGAGGCCACCAAAACTACTTGGGTTCAAGGCCTTGTTGGAATAATTGGTAGGCTTCTTTGAAATTAAGTTAGGTAGGATACTTTGAAGTTTTACAGAAAGGTCGTGGATGAGTTCAAGTTTGTGTTTATATCCCCTCTAAGATTAGGATGATGATCTATTTGGTGAGGAGAACATGGTAGTGCTCATTCTAATGTGACGGCTTCATCTCATCATTATGTCCACCTTTTTCTTGGGTTAGTGGGATGCCTTCGAGTGCATAAAGGGTGTTCAATTGAGATAGACAGGGATGGTATTGCTGCAATAGGGTAGGTGACTATGTTTGTAGAGGAGGATAGCTGAGGACTAGTAGGGCTGTAAATAAACCAAGCTGTTTGTGAACAGCTCGAGCTCAGCTCAAAAAGGGCTCGGTTTGTGTTCATTTGTTTAGTAAACGAACCGAGCTCAAACAAAACAAAAATCTTACGTTCGTTTATTAAACGAGCCGAGCTCAAACATATCTTTGCTTGTTATTAAACGAGCTGAGCTCAAATACCTTTGTGCTCGTTTTGAGCTTGTGAAATTGATATATTAATGTTGTAAATTTCTAGATATAAGCTTAGCCCATGTGGACTTGGCCTAGGTTGCAAATGAGTTGAGCCGAGCCGAACTTAGAGGTGTGTGGCTCAGCTCGGTAATGTGAGAGGAGTGTTGGAGCTCGGCTTGTTTTCAAGTGAGCTTGGCGCGACCAATAAAATCTCTCATTTTCTCTTTCTATCATCTCTCAAAAGTTTCTCTATTATTTAGGATTTTAATTTTCTTTTAATTTTTTTATTCAAATCAACTGAAAGGGATTTTATTTTGAACTCGTTGGTCTTATAGGGTTTAAAATCAGATTTGTTTGGGTTCTAATTTTGTTCTCTCTCACGTCTCAGCTTCCTATTTTATGACTTTTCAAACAAGCTCGAGTTTGAGCCAAGCTCATTATGTTAAACGAGCTAGGCGAGCCGAGCTCGAGTTTACTCACTTATGTTCTAGCTGAGCTTGGACGATAATGTAAAAGCTCGGCTCGAGCTCGAGCTGAGCTCAAACACTCTTCTAAAATGATCGAGCCGAGCTTGAACAGCCCATTCCTTGGCTTGGCTCGTTTACAGCCCTAGTCCCGAGATGTCCCTCTATTTATACTACCTCTACCTTGATCATCGAGTTCAAGGTTCGTAAAGATGGACTGAAAAGTGTGGTTGATGATGCAACATAAATTACTACATTGATGCCCCCTTTATGCCATCCAGGAGCCACATGTAACCTGGAGGTCATTTATCCATGTCGTATCGTTGCCTCGGACAACTCACCTTTGTGGGCTGGACAGAATTGTTCTGATTTGGTTTACTGATTTGCTAAATTCGTTTCGATTCTATGTTTGAATAGCTTTATTGCAGCAGGGGAATGAACATATGCTAGTATGAGTTGATTATTTTTTTTCCTAGTTGGTTACTTACCCCCCTCCCCCCCTCCAAGGAATTGTTTGCACCTAGTAGGAATCGATCCTGAGACCTGATGCTTCATGAGGTACCAGGGCCGAAGTCTTTTCCAACTAGGCCAACCCCTTGGGGTTTATGAGTTGAGTATTTGTACACACATCGAATCAGGCTTTCCTTTTTCTTCTTAGATGAGATGCCAATTTTTGGAAAAGGGGTTGGGAATTTGTTCAACCTTTGGACTGTTTTGTATTGCTTTCGGGAATTTATTTTTCCTTGTTGGTTTCTAATACTAGAAGTTACTCAAATGAAAATTACAATTACAATAGGAGAAACTTCTCCATTACATGACAAGGAATACACAAATTCCATTTCTAGCAAGCTAGTCTAACTCAATAGAACTAACATTACAGACCAAAAACAACCAAAAAATCTGCTAAGCTAATATTAAGATATGTGATAACATCCCAGATAATAGCCTGCACTGCATATGAGCCTTGTTCTTGAATCCCTGTATGAAGAGTAGCATTTCTGATGGACCAAATCTTCCAAAGAGTAACTGAAAAAATTCCACTCAATATCTTAGACTTTGTAGACTTAGCCGAAGTATTCTGCAAAAACCATTCCACAATTTGATTCAAACTAAAGAACCTTGGACACTGAATCTGCATTAACTCAAATAACCCTTTCCAAATCTCTGATGCAAACCTACAATTGCAGAACAAATGATCATTTGTATCCTCCTCAGCAAAGCAATTGTGACAGATAGATGTAACTTGCATCCCTCTTTTCTGTAAGTTCACAAATGACAAATTCTTGTTGTGTAAAATAATGACAGCACATATGCTGATCCAGGGCCTGCAATTTTTCCAACATATAGTAGCCCATCTGCACCTATTTCCAGTGGCGCGACAACTATTCCAAGCTGCCTTCAGTGAGAAGTTCCCATGATTCCACTTGATTTGATCAATTCCTGCATTAATATGAACCTGCTGGATAGCAGCCTTCGTATTATCAGAAAATTCTGCAGGTAAATTCCAGGTTCCTTGCTGTAAGATCACGGACAAATTAATCTGTCTGTCAAAATCCCTGAACCTCGTAGCTTCAAACAACTGGATTAAAGACTGCCCTTGGCACCATGGGTCAACAGCTTAAACTTTGTGCCATCCCCAACCTGAAAATTCACATTATCTAACACCATCTCTCTGACCCCCAACAGATACTTCCAAATAACTGAATCATTCCCCTTTGGAACAGCAAGCCAAAAATTAGTCTTGTTCAAATACACTGCCTTCAACCATTGAACCCACAGTTTGTCTTTCTGCTGAATAAAAACCCAACACATGGTTAATTTTGCTGCATAATCAATATCCCTGATCCTTCCAATATTAAATCCTCCCTCTGCTGCAGGTAGAGTAACTTGACTCCATTTGATTTGAGCCATCTTCTTAACATCTTGTTTACCACTCCACAAAGAGTGTTTGCATCTTTTCTCCAACATATTCTTAACTTCCCAAGGCACTTTAAACCCAAAAAGCCAATGATATAAGTATGAAAACAGCACTGATTGATCAACTCCAACCTCCCAGCAATTGATAAGTTGATTGTATTCCAATGCTCCAATCTGGCATCAACCTTATCAAGCAAAGTCCTATAATCACCTGCTTTTAAAGTATTATTGGATAAAGCAAGCCAAGATACCTGAAAGGAAATTGCTCCACTTGGAACTTCAAAATTCTGATTAATCTTCTTCTGCCTCGCACTGCCTTAGAAAAAACAATTGAACTTTTCTCTTTGTTAACTTGCAGCCCTGAAGTGTTCTTGAATAACCTCAAAATCT